AGTTATTTAAGTTTAGGTCAATTGGTTCTTAGGTCAATTTGCCAGTTCCCGTTCAAAACAGTGAAAAACATTCAATATTTATAAGGAAAATAAAATTAAATTAAATAGCTTTTTATTATTTTTTTTAATAAATTATGATTTGCTTGACAACAAAGTAGTGATTATAACAAACAAATAAAATCTTTTATTCTTAATTTGATTAATTTTTTAACTTAAAAATGTGAACACGTTGAGTTCTATTGTTAAAGTATAAAAATAAGACAAACATTGTAATTATTTAAAGATGTATCATGACAGAAATTAATTAGGAAATACATTTAAAAAGTCATCTGGATCATAATTCAAATCTTGTACTGAGGCTCGAGTTTCACGAAATCTGCGCTCAATTCCCACAAATCGTGAGCCGTTTGATCGTCGACGGCATTACCGGGCATTCGTCGCACTCGTCGACAGTTACTTATATATGAGACACAAAACAACAAAAATTAATATAAAAACCGCAACAAAAATATTAATATTTGTTTATAAAATTAACTAAACATGTAATCGATAAATAAAAATGAGTTCAATTAAAGCAGTGTTTACTCATTCAAACTTATAGACTTTTTATAAATGATTTTTATAATGATAATAAGTATTAATATTTTTATAAGTTTGAATGAGTAAACAATGGTTTTAATTCTTCGATTAAACTGTAAACTGCAAACTGTATACATAACATAATCATTATATTCATTTTATACAATGTAATAAGTTATACTGCTAATACAAATGTTATGTATACTGTTTGAATTGATAACCGTTTTACGTGCTGAGGCGATCAATTGTGGACTGGATTATAGATTAAAGCAGCTTGTACACATGTGACTTCATTTTTTAAACATTAGTTTCAAGTCACATATGTATAAGCTGCTTTAAACTTTAATCCTGTAATAGTTCAAGTCTCCAAATTTTTTTCCAAGTCCACAATTGAACGTTCAGTTATTTAAATATACTGGACATTAATTTTAAATATAATGCATACTCATAATAATGCCCCGACTCATTTTCGAGCTGTTCAGCCAGCGCGCAGTACAGGTAGGTTTGCGGTCCCATCTCAATACGCAAAGCTATTAATGCCTTGATAAATCTGACCACAATATTATCCACGCGTCTCGTTTTGACAATACCCGGGTTAATGGCGTACGTCTTGACCATACTATGTGGACCACCCAACCGGTTGGCCATTTCTCGGGTGAACAACACCAGTGCCAGTTTGGACTGCAAGTGAGCCTTTGCCGCAGTGTAGGCGCCGTTACGGAGGTTCATGTTATTCAAACGTATTTTGCTAAACACGTGCCAATTCGCGCTCACATTTATGACGCGTGCGCTCACAGACCGTCGCATTAATGGCAACAAATGCATAGTTAATAGGAAGTGACCTAAAAGTGTATAAAATGCATACAAATATAAAATTATATATACAATATTAATAAGTGATAACACGGGAAACGACTAATTGATATAAAATATCAAAACGTTATTTCTAAATGTAGCCAATCTTATATGCTCTATCACCATTTGCTATCAAAATACTTTAGTTTTTAAATTACATAAATACCATGAACTACTTTTTGAATATTATAAGTAAACATGATATTTTTAATTAATAGTTTTTAAGCAAAGTTTAATGAAAAATTAGGTCAATGCACCCGAACCCGAATAAAATAGTATTGCCGATCATATGTTACCCAAATAGTTTGCCCCCAAATGCAGTTCATAGCCGTCGACGGTCTCCTGTGGCGGCCCGAGAACTACGGGAACGCCGGCGTTGTTGACCAGTATATCCACTTTGGACTCGCTTTCGGCGATTTGTTGGGCGAACTCGCGAACAGACTTAAGGGACGATAAGTCCAGTGTTAGAGCCGTTATATTAGCGCCGGGATTACGACGTCTTATTTCGTTAACGGCCTTATCGTTGTTCACTTTATTTCTCGACCCGATTATGATTTTCTATTAAAAATGTAATTGCATTACATTATCTGAACCATGAAAATAAATAATCTATTGTGGGGATGGGGTGTGAATCGAAAGATTTTTTAAAGAAATTTCTATTCATTACACGTAACCAATAGAAAAGCTTTAGGCTCACAATTTATCCAAAATTATGGATTTAGTTTCGCAGTACATATATTTGGCTATTCAAACATTTCTTTAAAAATAAATTTAGATACACCTAAGAAGTTTGTTTTTAGCAACTTGTTAAAATCTTATAAAAATATAAACCTAGAGTCTAGGGCCTAGATTTATGGATTACAGAAAATTGTATATAAATCTGTATAAAAATCTTCCAAAAATGTAACAAATCTTCTGTAATCTCAAGTCTACGTTTATATTCCCATACCTGATAAACATTTAACATTTAGTTATTGCCTATAATGTTTATTCAATACATGAATACCACCTCACCTTTGGTCCTCTCAATGACAGCTGATATGCCGTTTCTTTGCCGATACCCGCATTTCCACCGGTGATGACCACCACCTGGCCGTCCAAACGTCTAGTGCCGTGGAATTTGCGACGACACCTAAAAAATGTAGTCTGGATCTCATTTAACATGGCCAACTTTCTTATAATATCATCCATATTTATTTAACAGGATAAAATTCTAAAATCGTATTCAAAAAATAGTTTAATTTTTGATATTTTGTATGATTCAGTTCAATTTTGATTTGGTGCCAAAAAAATGGTTACTAATGGTTTGTGTGTTGAATGCTCCTCTATTTATAAACTTTTACATCATTATTACAGACATAAAAATAATTAATATAAAATTTAAAATAATATCACAATAAATATTAAACTGATAAACAAATTAAAATAATGAAACAATTTCTTAAACAGACTTTTATAGAGAAGTCATTATTACATTATTCTCAGAATTAGACTTTAATTAATGTTTTGATTATATAGCCGTAGTTTTTTCGATGAATTTATTTTTTGTATGATTTTACGAATTATGAAATGTTGAATCAAATTGTAAAATATAATTACTAGTATTTAGTAAATATTAACAATTTTACTAAGAAAAATATAGGTATAATAATTTTCTATAATTTTTAGTAATTGTGACATTTAAATAAATTTTATCATAACAATTTAACATAATGCATAAACAAATTAAAATTAGCCAATAAATTAAATTAATTTTTAAATCGTGATAATAAAGCCATTTATTAAACAGACTTTTATAGAGAAAGTCATTATTATTATATAATATTCTGAGAATTAGATTCTAATTAATAATATTCGTTTATTTATTATCCATGACAAATTGTATGAGCAATTAGAATTAGTTATTTGATTTTGTTCATATCTAAATTTAAAAATCAAACAATTAAAGAATTAATTTTAATTTAAAGCAATTATATTAGTGTTTGTGGAAAATACTTGGAAAAGTAAGAAATAACAAATTAATTATATTTCATAATATATTTTTGTGATTTACAGCTAACTAGTCCATAGAGCCCATTATATTACTTTATATGAGCTGGGACAATCATAGTAACGTTAGATATTTTTATTAATACTTTAAAATGCAGTAATATTTGAACCCGAATAAAATAGTATTGCCGATCATATGTTACCCAAATAGTTTGCCCCCAAATGCAGTTCATAGCCGTCGACGGTCT